TTGTCCAGTAACATCAGCATTTTATGATAAATAATACCAGCTGAAGTGAATTTTACAGTGTCCTGAAAAAGAAACGGCATGTTAAATTTGTCAGCAGTCACAAAGACAAGCATACAAATCCAGCGTGTGTATTTTGTGGTGCGGCATGTGGTGCTTGGGTGGTTTGAATGGCTTATTTTATATTCGTCCTTTGGCTTCAGCCTTGTCACTGGAGTCTTTGTCCAACTCTGACGCATTCTGCTTCAGTGCATATAAAGCACAGACTGGATAGATCCAATGTGAGCGGTGTGAATCACTGGACCAACTTTTGGCTGTAACTAAGGTGATTAAAGAAAAATGGAAGTTATAGCCAGGCTAAAGGCCCAGTTGTAAGTCTCATTTGCTAACATTAATATCTAACCACAAGACATCGATCAGGACCTGTCCAGGATGTGTGTCCGATATTTTGTCTGGAAAGAAACTCAACAGTCTGTGTTGGCCTGGAAAATGTGCTTCAGTCCATTCCAGCACCAGTCCTGAGACTCCTGAAAACCCATCTATATGATTAATGATTAGTTTCCCACTGGCCTGTAATAGGGTCATAAATCAGTTTCCTGATCTCTTACTTCATCTTCTTTTTCTTTTTCTTTTTCTTTCTCACCCTTTTGTCTATTTAAAGCATATTTTTTTGACATGGCAGAATTGCATGAATATTTCAAGACATTTTCTCTTAAACAATTTTCTATGTGAAAATGAGATTTTGCTGTGAACATGAAAAAAAAAACACTGCCTTTGGTAGGGGAAGTGCTTCATGACGCAGTGATAGTACCGAATGACTTTATCTCTGGTGATAGTGGTGTTGTCTTTGATTTTCTTGCAGCACTTTTGAGATTAAGTTGCTCAGAAGCTGCCAAACAGAACCGGGAGAATGCTCTCGCTTTTCTAGGAAAGCTTGTCTGTGTGCTTTCTCGCTTAGCCGCTGACCTTCTCTTCTCACATAATGAGTCACACTGTTGCAAGGATGATGAACGCACACTGAGAACTGCTACCGCTGATTTAATATCATTACTAATAACATTGTGAGTGCATCAGTTTATAAAGAGTGAGTGGTGCCTGAGTGAATTGTTTTGAATATTAGTTGATAACTTATGGCTGTACAATATGACTATAACTATCGTATTGAATGGGTTGTTTCTAAGTTCAGCCGATCACCAACATTCTTACAGAATGCTGCTAACAAAAACCACCACACTAATAAATATCACTAAAGGCACATCTGTAAAATGGATGTTGAAATCAGTTCATTCTCTTCTAGACAATCTGGCTAAATGCTGTTCAAGCACTATTTGCTTCATTCAACTCGGCCAGTCATGTGAAAGTAATATGAATACTACGATGCCAAATAACATACTGCTTTCTTGCTACTGTCATTAATCCAAACATGTCTAGAAGAAATATACCATTTTGTTGTCCAACTTCATCTCGTTTGCGCTCATGCTTTTGGAAAAACATCTTCCAAATGTGAGGGTTTTTTTTTTTTCCCCTCAAATACTTCATCCACCCCAGCCTCCCCCCAGCATAGACTTTATGATGCCAGTAACTCAATGGTAGGAGAAATGCCATTTGTTGCCGTTATGTTTTGTATTAATAAATACGATTTATATATCCATCCTAGACTATCCATCTGGAGCTCGTGTTTTGTTCTCATTCTACTCCTAGAGCTTTACTAAGGAATAAAACATGACAAGGATAGCTGTTATAGGAAAATCGGCCCGATGCAAAGCGGCGCACCGTTACCTTTACCCCGGCCTTGATTATTTTCTTCTAACAGCATGTGTCAGTGTTTTATTCGTCCAGCAGTTTGGCAACACTAACAATTTTTTTTATTGAATAACGGCACATCTGCGAAACAAGTTAGTTCCTCGTATTATTTATGTTAAACAGTCATTCCCTCACAAGACTCTCGTTTCTCTCCCTCTTATTAAGTTAAGGCAAGAACGAGACAGCTTGTCATGCTACCAAGAAACTGCACAGAGCAACATCCTCCCTTTATAGACTTTTCCTTGGTGGAATCTTTGGTGGAAATGAAACAGCTTTACCACCGAATGTTACAAAGCACTAACACTGGAGACTCCTTCCATAAATGTTACCTAAACAGCTAATTGCAGAAAGCTTTACCATGTCAGTGGTTACAGATATTTTTAATCTGTTCATGTGGAGCAGCCCTCGTACAAGTCTCTAAGGAAGTTGTCACTATGTAAATGATAATGTATTACAGTGGATTAATATAAATCCATGATTTGCCTTGCAACCAAAGCTACTATCAGAGCCGTGCAGTTAGTAAATTAATCAACACCTTCTGACCAATCTGATTTGAGAATTGACCAGCGTTATGCTATACGTTTCTTTAACACCTTGCTTTTAACCATTCCACGCTCTTGATTTCAAGTGTGATCAAGGCTTTCGGTTGTTCCAAGTCTATGGAACAGTTTACCGTTTTAAAATAAAGATATTTAGATCAATTTCAAAATGTACTTATTGTCCCTGGATGTTCATATGGATGTTCTGTAGTGTTCAGGCATGTGCTTTGCTATGATCTGGCCTACTCGTGGTTCATCTCTTGGGGTATTTTATAGTTTTATTCAGTTTCTTTCATTCTGATATGTATTTTATGCGTGTAAATTTAGTTTGAATTTACTTACTGCACACAACCTGGCACATGTCTTAAAGTGTATCCTATAGATAAAGGGGACTTGACTTGTCCTGAGGCAGTTTTCACCTGTCTGCCCACCATGTATTCAATAATTCAACCAAAGTCCCTGTTCCTGGCAACATTGGCATTCAGATAGTGACTTCAGTCTTAGTACCTGAAGTTCTTGCCACATGTGACCACAATTTGAGACAGGATCCACTGATTTTTCATGCAGATGCATAGACGAATTCTACAACTTATCAAGGTTCATCTGATAAATTAGGTTTGTACCGTTACTCATTGCTCGTTATATTTCTAAAACATTGCTATAATACAATGGCCTTAAAAATAAAACAGAATAAAATAGAAATCCTAATTTAATGTTTCAGATTCAGGATCTGTGACAGAAGCTACAAAACCAGGATCTAGAAAACTGGTCAAGTGTAAAGCAAGAAAAAAGACTCACTTTTCTTTTACCTGCTCTAGCTAAACCAGTGCCAGCTTCTGCAGATCTGTTTCCATTAATTGACCATCATTACCTGAAATTATCCAGTAGACTACACAGCATGAAATGGCATTTGTACAATTTCATGTGAGAGTAGATGAAAATGGGGCTGCTGGGAAACTGTTTTAACTGGAGCTTGATATTAGAAAATGTTGACTTTGATTGCATCAGTTGTGATTACTTAAAAATCCCTGAGCCCCGGTTGTGTAAATATTGAGCAGATTTATTTTTTTTGTCAGGTTCTTGCCTTTGCTGGTTTAAAAAGAAATAAACCTGACTGCCTTCAGCACCTCATTGCTCTATTCAGTAAATGCATTGCTTGTGATAGATTGGAATTACAGTATTTTTTTGGGAAACGACTGATAATCTGAAAAGTAATTGGGAATATAAAGAGCTTGATATGTCTGAATACCCCTAAGGAAGGATCAAAAGAGTTATGGTTGTTAGGATTTTCTGTTTTTTCTTTTTTTTCTGTTAATTGGGTTGACGAACTTTGTACTACATTGCTGCATGTCTATTTTGTAGTGTTCACACTTTTCTTCACAGACTAGAAGAGGCGTTTAAGATATTTGTGTGAGTGTGAGCCTAAAAGGTTTAGTCACTGAAGCAAGAACTTACAGGTGTTTTTGTGAGTGCTCATGGAAATACACTTGGATTTTCGTTCAACAATCCAGTTAGAGTCCGTGTTTCCTGATAGAAGTGCACAATCCTTTTCACCCCTTCAGCCTGTTCCAGCCCTCAGGCCTCATGGCGGCCACATGGCAAGATCTCTCCTGAACACAACATTCTCTCATGAGTGTCTAAACCAAGAACTCACACCAGACATGCACATCTAATCCACATCTCTTGCGACTAAATTTCCTTCCTCCCAGTGTGAATAATGCAATGGCACACTTTATCCAGAAAAAGAATGGCCATACTTGCAATAGTGTCAGAAGGACATGGGGTAGGAACAGTCAAAGCTGGGCCTGCTGTGATTATAACCAGACACTGTATGGAGTAGAGACAGGTCACCGCTTGAAATATAAATGGAGCTGCATGTAACACTCAAGTGTATGACGCAAGTCCTTACTTCAGTCGCCTTATTGACGAAGGTGTAAAGAGGATAAAATGCCACGCCTAGCAGATTCTTACACTGACGCATGCACAGATTTAGGGCACGGTCTCTGCAGTAGTCCAGACTGGTTTTAGACTAAGTCCTCGTAATGGATGTATTATATTTTAGTTTTCTCTCCATATCAAATGCAGCAGCCAAGCTTTAGACTGGATATGATGAAAAGGTCTGCATGAATTTTCTGTAACAGCACACCTGACGGTAGTGCCGGCTGTACCTTAATGAGCTTGTTTTAATACATTATTGTTTCTACACTGAAAACCCTAACAAGTTGACTGTACTCAATTGATTGAGTAAACCCGTTCCCTCAATTTAATTGAGTAATGGGTTCTCCCAAAACTTGCATATTCATGTAGACTGGATTTCAATTTTTAAGTTCACTTAACTTGGTGCTTATGGTCCCTGGAGGACTAGTGGTTAGGCCACAGGTAGAGCTGCGGCCTGGGTTCGATTCCCAGCCAGGGAACCGACCCCAGCCACTGGGGTTGCATGCAACAGTGTGCTCTCAGTGCCAGTCCCAAGCCCGGATAAAACTGGGGAGGGTTGCGTTAGGAAGGGCATCGCGGACCAGTACACCGACCAATGATCGGCAGTGGCGACCCCTAACGGGAGCAGCCGAAAGAGGAGCAACAACTTAACTTGGTGTTCATATAGTGTACTTAAATAATTAAGTTCACATTAGCTTTGTGTTTGTATAGTGTACTTTATAGCTTACTGACCGTGAATCGAACCCGAGCAGCGGCAGTGAGAGCGCTGCATACTACCCACTAGTCCACCAGGGAACCAGTGTACTGAAATAATTAAGGTCACTTAACTCGCTACTACACCGCTACCAGCAACGGAGGAGACGAAGAGGACCGTCTTTTGCAATTACCTGTGCATTAGTTCTCTTGTTGCCAGGCGGAACTCCTTGCATGGCCAATTACATCATTTGAATTCATTTGAGTTCAACACTTGAAATCTAAAGTTTATGTATTTTGTAGGTAAAAAATTTACACAAACTTAGACTTTTGATTTATAGGTAAAAAAAACCCGCAACATTTTAAGTAATGTTTAGTCATGATTGCTTGATAGTTTAAGTAAAGACAACATTAGGGTTTACAGCGTATAGTAACAGCTCATACACAGGGACTTGTATGTCAGATGCACCACATAATCTTGTCTATCAGTAAACCGATTAAGAACGTGTGTTATTTATGAAAGATAGATGTACATATAATCGTTGATATGGTGAAGTTTTCTCTTATGAGATGTTTGTGGGTGTCAACGCTTTGAAGTGGTCAGTTAGTTTTCCAAGAGAGGAAAGTCTTCATGACTGAGGAGCTTTTCAGTTTTTCAGTAACATGACTAGCTGCAGTTTTTTTGGTCTTATTAACTTTGATCAACAGAAAAAAGAAAGGCTGTTGAGGGAAAGACTGTTTATAGCTGCTATAACATTTGTGGTAACATGAACTAACTTGTTTCTCAGGCATTACGTAAACCCAAAATTTACCTGTTATTCATTGATGAGTTAAGTTTGCAATAGTTTGCGAATTAGTGTGGTATACGAGGAATAAACCACTGAACATGCTGTTGTAGGAAAATAATCCACTTTGGGAGGGTAACAGTGACAGGCTGTATCACACCACTTCATCATGGATTATTTTTCTGTAACAGTACGCCCGTTGGTTTTTGTTTCTTACTTAGCTACATCTGTAAAAACAGAAAAGATGCCTGTGATCCCCCATTCCATGATTAACAGGAGTACTTTGGCTACTATGGTAATGATAATATCGCTTGATTTGGCGTAGATACAGACCAAGAGGCATATTTATGAACTTTAATAGAAATAAACTGAACAAAAGAGCAAAAAAAAAAACCATAGGTTAAAAAATGGAGCAAATTGGAGTTTTAATTGGAATTTTAATTAAAATAAAGACTTGAACATTTGGTCTTTGATGCACATATTGGTGCTGCATGGTTTAAGCCAGAGACGTGTCTTAGTTACGAGCATGGCTGGGTTTCCCACGCTGACTCATGTGCAGTTCGATACTTAATCTTTGCCTCTACAGAGCTTGTGCTATTCGTCTCTTATTTATGCAGTCATGCATAATTAATGCTCTGTCCCAGTCAAAACAGAAGGTAGTGGTTTTGGTTTGTGTTTGTGGTCGTTTTCAGAGGCACAAATTTCACCAGCAACCACATTTGAATATTGGTCTCTGTCTCGCTCATGCTCTGATTCTCTTTCGGTCTCTCTTGCTATCTTCCTCTTTCTTCTGGGTATGACCTGCCTAGTAAATGTCAGGCTTTTCCCGCTCGATCAGCTCTCCATGTCTTCCCTGCAGTAACATCTGGTGTGTGGGGGATGGGTGAGCTTTGAACGAGGGTTTATGAACTTGTGCTTGTTTGAAAACGGGCGCAGGATGAAACCAGCCCCTGAAGGGCTGAGGGTCGGCAGCTCTTGACTTCAGTTAAGAGTTTAATTGATAAATCATCTGTGCCAAGAAACCATTTTGTGATTTAAGAGCCTCAGCTTTTGAAGGGCAAAAGATTAGTAGGCTTGTTAAAGTTCAATAAGCGCATAGTTGGTTTGCTGAAATATCTTATACCACAGCATGGTTGAATGCTCCAATCTGATTGGTCAGAAGGTGTGCATTATTTTCGTATAGCAGCACGGCTGGGAAAGTAAAGTTTTGGCTTTAAAATTAACGATAGGTTAATATTAATGCGCTCCTTCTAATACATTGTTGTTTCTATAGTAACAGTTTATACACAGGCACTTGTAAAGCAGATGCTCCACATAATCTAAGACTAAGATAATAAATGGATTTAAAAGCTTGTTGTTTAACAAAGTAAATCCGGGCGACAGAGAGAGAGGGAGAGAGAGGGAGAGGCTGGTGAGGGAATGTCTGTTTATCATGGCTATAACATAAATGAGAACAGGAACTAACTTGTCTGTTGGACATCCCGCAACATTAATTCTGACTATAAACCACAACCTTTAACAAAACCCCCAACCGACACCCCCACCACCACCTACCACCACCGCCACTGTGCGGGGTGCATTACTTTCATATAACAGCACAGTCTGTCGTACGTTAATCTTTACTTATAAAAAATACATTTTCCACTACACTACATTGATTATTACTGGCAGCACAGACATATTCGTTCATGCTGGCAGTTAAAAATTAGTCAAAATCAGTAAACACTAAATCTTGCAGTTAGCTGTTAAAGCTTGAACATACATAACCACCTACTAAAACCTTAAAGATAGAATGATTATCGCAGTAGTTCTTGGCAGGGTGTTTGGAACTGTACAATCAAGTTGAAAACACTCGTTATATTTCCAGTAAGTAAATCTTTTATGGCCCATATGCTCATCTCAGAAGCTGAAGCAGTAAAAAGACATGGCTCTGGGTTTATGTGCTCTCTGAGTATCACACTTGTTGGCTCACTACTGTGCACAAATTTTAGCTACAGTTCGAACTGGCTACTTGGTTCCAGTTGTCTATATGTTTTCTGTAAGTGTTGGGAAAGTCTGTAGGATAGCCAGTTAGTTTTTTGTTTTTTTTGCAGTGTAAAGCAATGCTCACAGGATTCCTAGCTTTCGTTCCCTTTCAGTAACCAGTTCTTGTGTGATTATGGTGAACAGGAGCGGCTGTAATACGATGTAACACGCCGCTGAGCCGGACGTGACCTCGTCTATTAGAATCCATGTTTACGCTGAAATGTAAGAAACATCTGTTCGTACAGGTAGAGATTAAGATCAGGGATGATATGTATAAAGTAAACAGAGGTAAGAATAAAATTTTGGTCTTAAATACTGAAACATTCGTAATGCTTATTAATCCTAGGAATGTAAAGCAATATACCAAAAGTCTTTGACTTTAAAAGTACTCTTAGTATTCAGAGGTATTGCGACCTGAATGCACTGAGAGAGAAGATCTTCAGCTCTCGGGAAAATGATGGATGATGCAGTTCTCATAAAGATGTAGCTGATCGATCGTGACGTTGTCTTTTTTTTTTTCGGTCGCAGATTTAATTAGTGATCAAATGTTACACAATTACAGCCGATTGATGCACTACCAATTTGGACATGCCACAAAATGTGGATTGTACATATAAATAAAAAATAAATATTAATAAATATTTGCTCAGGTCTAACCACTGTATTGTTGACTTTAGTTGGTATAGTTTCAGGAGCGCTGTGTCGTCACTGTTCCCGTGATGTCTCCGCTGGAGGAACCAATCACAGAACAAACCATTTCGACCAATAAGCGTGAATTTTGTGTGCATACCGTCTTTTCTCATGCTCTTCTGTGGTTCACGGCATAGCTGGATATGATACATTAATCGCCTCTACCATCTCGTGGCAAACAGTTTTCTGATCCTGACTACTCTGATTGAACCCAGATATAATCTTTATGTTGTCCTTTCACTCTTTCATCAGCTGTCGGTCCAGTGGAGCTTGTATTTGAGCAGAGAATAATTAGATATTCTCTGTAATCAGTGCTTGGAACTGGATGTCCTCAGTGGAAGTGGAATTAAATCTGTTATGACTGGTGCTGTAGCTTATTAAATGCAGGTTAATTTTTTTTCAGCCTTCACAGAATTAATGTAGTCGTCTTGTAAAATATGACTGAAACATGCTGTTATTATTATCATCATCACTTTGTCATGAACATAAGAGTTCTGAACAGGTATAATTGTGCTTTGTCTACTCATCTGTTGGCGTCTAATGGACATGAGGTGTGGCAGGTCGATTTACTGGTGTGCTTCTTACTGCTCTCAGAGGATTAACTTCTTCAGCTCGCTACTGTTCTAACACGTTTTACTCCCACTAAGAATGTATCAGGTCTTAAGTACACTTCTAAGACTATTTTTAAGATTTAATTCTCAGAAGCGTTACACATACTACTCAAAAAAGACTCCAAAGAATTGTGTTATGAGCTACAGTGTCAGGCCTCTAGCAAGGAGTAGGAACAATGTATGCACGCAGTTCTTTGTTTTACATCATCATGGCGTCATTAAGCTTTTGTGCTGATGGTTACTGGTTAGTGCCACATCCTGATTGTATCTGTGTTGACATATTGTACCTGTGTTGTGTACTACGCGGCTAAAAGTATGTAGATACCTGACCATCACACCCCTATGTGCTTGTTGAACGTCCAGTTAAAAAAAACTGTGGTGATTAATATAGAGTTGTTTCCTCTTTGCTGTTATAATAACCTCCACTCTTCTGGGAAGGCTTTCCACTAGATTTTGGAGCGTGGATGTGGGGATTTTTGTTCATTCAGCCACAAGAGCATTAGCGAGATCAGGCACTGATGTTGGGTGAGGAGGTCTGGTGTGCATTTGGTGTTCCAGTTCATCCCAAAGGTGTTCAGTGGGGTTGAGGTCAGGGCTGTGTGCAGACCACTCAAGTTCTTCCACTCCAACCTTCACACACCATGTCTTCATGGACCATAATTTGTGCACAGGAGCATTGTCATGCTGGAACAGGTTTGGGCCTCTCAGTTCCAGTGAAGGGAAATTGTAATGCTACAGCATACAAAGACAATTGTGTGCTTCCAACTTTGTGGCAACAGTTTGGGGAAGAGCCACATAAGGGTCTAATGGTTTTGGCCTTTTGGCCATATAGTGTATTGTATCGTATTGTTTAGTTGAAGCTGAGTCACATTGCTGAAACTCTGCAACAGCAAGCAGTTCGAAGACTGGAGTGACGTTCTATATTAAATGTCTAATATGCAAAAATGTTACATTATATTCTTCTTACTTCTGTCTCCTAAAGGTGTTTACA